GCGTGTAATAAATACTCACAAAGAAAATGGCGGCTGTTACAACTTATGTCTAAAAATGTGTAGTTTCATGCAACGGTTAAGACACTCGACTCCAGCTACACGACGCGCAGCTAGAAACACTTCCTGCAAGTCGAGCTGCCCGAGATTCACAGAATTTACAGAAAATGTTACATTTTTGTGATTTATATCGTTATCGGACGATAGATGTCTTATATCTGGATATGAGATTTTGGTCATATCGCACAGCCCTACCTGCAAGGCTTTCTCTTTGTGCACCTCTGGGCTGCTTTCTGTGCATCTGCTGTTTTAGATGGAAGCCCTGTTGTGAACACAAGTGCAAGTGTTCAGAGTCAAATTTCTGTTTTGCAGAAGTTTGAAGTCTACATACTTGACATGCATATCAGCAGTCATCATTGCTGGGTCTCTAGCTTAGAACCCAGAGAGCAAACAGCAGCTTTGAGCATAGGAGTCAAGAATTTATGAGTCTAAAGATGTTTGGTCAGGTGAGGAGTGCAGTTGGGAACATTTTCAACAGCTCACACGGTTATTCATAGAGTCAGACTGCTGACTCGGAGTAATAACTACTGACTACTCTGATATCCTGAAGCATCTGAAAGAAATGACTCAAACTTTGTTACAAGCCATCAAAACATTTTACCCCAATCGCATTGCATTTAAAGTGCAAGAATTTTTAAGCTGCACCAATGGAATCTTCTCTCAACACCAGCTGTGGTCCTCTGATTTGAGCTTGAGTTTCTTTTTCTTTTCCAAAAGGAAACTCTTGAGGCTCTCTGTTTTGAAACAGTGGAGAAGTTCAGGCTTGCATTGCAGATACACATGTGAAACTTGTCAGAACTGGACTTCCACAGGTTGTTTTAAAAATAGCATCAGCACTGAAAACAGCCTAGAGGTGCACAGTGAGGCAACCTTAAAAATTTGATCGACCACAAATCAGAACATCAGGAATTCCTTTGGCTTTTTATGGAAAAGTTTTGTATCGGTCTTTTGGATTGCAGCTCGTACATTTGTGATGTTATGTTTAAAACAGTTTTGAAGGTTATGTGCTGTTGACTAAAATAATAACTGAGTTATCCACAGGTGATATATTCCTTTTCTCCTCATGCCTCTGTCCTGTTTTGCTTCTATCCACCAGGCAAGTGCGGGAGGTATGCGCCGCTTCATCAAGCCTCCGGAGTCTCTGGAGCGCTCACTGGAGCTGTCCCGCCATCGTGGCCGCAAAAGAACACAGAAGAGGCCAAACTACAAGAACCTGGGCGAGGAGGAAGATGATGAAAGGGCTGGGGGCGGAAGCAGCAGTGCAGGAGGAGGACTAGAAGAGGGCTGGGATGATGACAGTGGCAGAGGAGGAGAGAGGGAAAAGGGAAAAGGTACAGAGGGAATAGGAGCAGGTGGGAGTTCTAAGGGAAGCAGAGCGAGTGGTGAGACGGCGGAAGGTGAGTGTGTGTCTCGTTGGACACAGCAGTACAGGACTGTGTTTGTGAGTGTTTCTTCACCGCCATAAATCCAATGTGGTCTCCCATGCACTCTGATTATCCTTAAGAGAAAAGAGAGAGAACTCTTTAAAGAAAGAACACCTGACATTTTTCACTGGAAATGTGGTGGCTTTGCTGCTTTTCATTTGCAGCTACAAGTAAATGCTTAAATGTGATCTCCATGCTTTTGCAGCTGTGTTTAAATTTATATTATACAACCTCATCATTTTTTTTTTCAGGAAATAAAAGATTCCTGGCAAAAGTAACAAGAGTAAAAAACAGGCAACGCTGCACAATCAGAACAGAAACCCTCTCTTTAGCTTGTTTTAAGATGAGGACTCCCTCTTTTTGCTGCATCCTCTTCTTGGCACCATTTAATTTCCCCATGATTATCATGGCTACCACTGATCTTGTGCTGAGCACAATCCATGTAGCAGTATCGGTTCCCACAGCGATACACCATCCATCCTGTGCTCCTCATCTCTCCGCCTGTCTCTCACTCCTGCTCTCTGTGTGTGTGTGTGTGTGTGTGTCTATATTAAAATGTGACCATTTCACGCTTCTGAAATGATTTATTTTTTATGCTTTGACTTATACTGAGGCATTAACAGCTTCAACCTTTTTTTTTTCTTTACTCATGTTTTTTAAAAGCACAAATGTGGTCATGGGCTGCAGGGGAAGATGGTTTCAGAATGACATGAGTACCATTTAGGATGGAACAAAGACACCTACCACTGTTAACAGACTGATAAAACAAGTGATAAAACTACCAACATTTTAAAGAATAAGTTTAAAAATAGACCTGTTTTTCTTCATAATAGATTTAAATATTCCTTTGTCTATTGATGTGTTACTATTAATTAGTAATTTTAACCTGCTTGCTCTAAATACTGTGAGGAACACATGTGAGGTTTCCTGGCAGCTTTAGTACGTTTTAAGACCTTCACACTTCAGTTGGTCCATACGTTTTAGAGCCTCTTTGTTTCGTGTCTGTAAGTGTGCTAAATTTGTGATGTGAATGTGAATGATACTCTGTGAGGTAGGTGGTTCTCCAAATATGTGGAGATTTATGTAGTAAGTATGTATCTCGCGGTGTGTGTATCTGTGCAGAGATAGAAATGGTGGTGATGGAGAAGTGTAAGGTGCCAGAGCTGACAGAGCAGAACATCACTGATGAGGAGAAGACAGCTGCAGCTACTCGCACACACACACAGAGGAGCAGGTACATGCGCGCACACACACACACACACAAACATACGTGAGCGCAGTGCGATGTAAACCTCATCTAAAAGTCTAAAGAATTGAAAATGGGAAAGACAGAATTGTTAACTGAAGCTATGTTCTCTTTGTCTATTTCTCGCTCCCTGCAGGCCGTTCTTAGACATGGTGTACAGTGCCCTTGACTGCACCAGTGACGACTACCACGCGCTGTTTGTCCTCTGCCTGCTTTACGCTGTCTCACACAGCAAAGGTAAGCAAAAGCTCACTGTTAACATCATCTGTCCACAGCACTTCCAAGGAGGTTTTGTCATACCCAGATATTCCTTTGCAGGCTTGTGATGTTTACTTTGTAATAAGATGGTTTTTATCTTGCTCTATAGGTTCTAGGAGTCATAATTTAACTCTCTACAATTGTTGTCATCTGGTAATTCTTAATGAAATTAATTAAAGACTGACATTCTTAGATTTCACATTGTATGAAAAAACCCTTTCCATGTAACTTTTATCACTTCTACAGAATCTACAGCTGCATAGTTTCTTATTTAGAGCCTCTTAATCACCTCCCTTCTCATCTCCTCCTGCCTTTTCCTGGCATAAACCTTTTGACATGTAATAATAAGGCTTTTGTCTCTCTATTTAAGTAAATTAATATGAAGTAACAAAGAAAATTATTGACCTCTGTTTGCTCTAAGGGCTGTATGATTGTTCTCTTTAAAATACATGTAGATTCATTTGTTTGTATACAGCAAATGGTAAATGGACTGGTTCTTATATAGTGCTTTTCTACTCTACCTGAGCACTCAGTGTTACACAGCACTGTGCAAAGGTCTTGGAAATAGGTGCAGTGATTTATTGAAACATGTGAAGGCATACAAGGAAATGCAGTACATGAAGCAAAAAGTTTGTGTTGTAACCAGCTTGAGAGTCAGTGTCTGGTATGTCCACTGTTATTCTTCATCGCAGCCTGAACTTTCTCAGGCAACTTTCTTCTGATTTCTTTAAGTAGTCTTTAGGAATACTTCTCCAGGTTTCTTGAAGGACATTCAGAGCTCTTCTTTAGATATTGGCTGCCTTTTGTTTGGTTTTTTTGCCAAGGTAATCTCACACTGCTTCAGTAATGTTGACGTCTGGGGAGGCCAATCCATGACTGATAGTGATCCACTGTGTGTATTTCTATCCAGATATGCTTTCACTGCATTGGCAGTGTGTTTGAGATCGATGTTAGGTGGAAAAATCTATACTTTTAGTATTGCATGGTGGATCAAAATCCATAAATTTTGACCAGATTTGCAACACCAGTTGGAAAAATGACACCTAAAAACTAGAACTGAGTCTCCACACTGTTTTACAGATGGCTGCAAACCTTTGTACCTCTCTCCTGAAGACCTCTGTAGATCCTGACAACAATTTGAACCAGAAATTTAAAATTTGCATTCATCACTCCATCAGACCTGTTGCCATGGATTTCTGGTCCAGTTCTTTTGTAATTTAGCATACTTCAGTCTTTTCAGCATTTTTCCTTATGAATGGCTTCTTGACAAGTCACCTTTCCACTGAGACTATTTCATATAAGGATTCAGTTTTATTTCATAAAACATGCAGTTTCTTCTCTTGTAGAATAGAATTAAATGCCTTTTCACTATACAGATGTCCCCCACTTCTTCAGTTTCTTCACAGTTTTTAAGAACACACTCCACATTTTTGGTAAACAGGTCTTTAGGAATCAGCGTCTTGGTGCAAAAATACTCTTTACTGCCTGTCAAACTGTTATCTTTTCATTCAGCTAAATACATGGGATTAAATGATGTGTTTCTGCAACGGGCTGCTAGTAACGAAGTGCCTAACGATACAATTTAAAATTGGTTCTTTGCTAGTTTGTCTGTTATTTGTGGACACAGCAGTGGTTTATCTTGTGAGTTAGGTTCCTTTATTATGATTACACCTCAGTTTTGACTTCATAAATAATTTTAGGTTCTAAGTAATGTCCGTGTCATCCTTCAGCTGAAAAAACCTAAATGAGGTGGAGTGGTGTCGCAGCTGTTTAGGAAGTAAAACTCTACGGCTTACAGTGTTTTGCCTTCCATCTGTGCTGCTGACGAACCAATTAAACATATTACATACGGTAGATTCCCAGAATAAAGACGAGTCAAGATGACGGCCTTATTGTTCGTGGCTCAGAATTAGCATTTTCTTTTACTTTGTTTTTCTGTTTAATTTGTTTGTAGGTATCAACCTTGATCTTCTGGAGCGTCTGCAGTTGCCAGTTCCAGACCAGGAGAGGAGTTCTTACAGCGTGGTCCTCGTAGAAAGACTTATTAGAGTTATGAGCCAAGCTGCACTGCCAGGTAACGCACACACACTTCCACATTTGGTGTGGTGTTTCATACCTTTAAAAAAGAAAAAAAGTACCTTCTTTTTTTCTTTTCTTTTGATGTTCATTTTATTTGCATATTGCTAAGCTGAACATATAGTGTATGCACTGGCACACTGAGCAAAAACATTTGTTACGAGAATTTCTAACCCAGCAAATGCAAATGAGGTAGAAATTTTAGCTGTTAAAGCTCACAAACCATGTATAGACATTTTGCATGATATGATGCATGTGATGCATTTCTTAGATTTTTTACCTAACAGGAAACAATGTGTTATATTTGATACTTATTTATGCATTTCTCTTACTTGTGTGCAGATGGTAAAGTGCGTCTAGCTACTCTTGAGCTGAGCTGCCTTTTGTTAAAGCAGTCTGTGTTGTCTGGGAGCAACTGTATTATCAAAGACATTCATCTGGCCTGCCTGGAGGTACATCACACCCAAGCATGCTCCCGTGACATTTCAACAGTCCTGTTAGCAGACTTTATGACTCTCACAAACTGCTTGAGGGAACACGGGACCTCAGCAGGAAGTGAAATGCTGAAAATTGTGTCATCCATAGGAGTGAAACAACCCTTTTCCATGTAATTGTGTCACTTCTGTAGAATTCACAGCTGCAAGGCTTCTTGGTTAGAGCCACTTAGTGACTGATGATATTTTTACAGACCTCCCATCTGCCCCCCGTTTAAACACTGACATCCATTTTTTTCTGCAGCCCACAGTTTTACATATCTGGGTTTTGTTTTTTTGTGATCATCCTTCTGGGAAGTTATATTTCCTTTTCTGTCACTTCATGGTAAATACTCCCTTTGTTTTTTGCTTTTTTGCACGCACATAAAGTTCTAGGAAGAAATTGCACAGCTGTCAATGTGTTCCTTTTCCTTTTACAAAATTCACAATTTTAAACTGAAACCTTATCTTGGTCATTTTAAAAGCTTTTATTTTTCGCAGCGGGTTTGGTGAAACTAACTGTTTTTTTGGTATCGGTTAAACATCACTTGGGGGGTTTCTGCTTGGAGAATTTCCCACCTCTGACACAGTTTAATAGTAATGAAGACACACCTTTTTTTTTTTTGGGGGGGGGGGGTCCAGGCTGTTTAAGCTTAAATGGTTATGTTGACGGTTTAAGTGCTCATTATGAGCATTATTAGCCAAACAAGCAGGCTTTGGACTGCTATAAACTCTCACTTTCCAAGACTGGCTTTCCTGTTAAATTTGTGCAAAAGATTATCCTTTATACGGGCATTTTGGGCATCAGCTCACAGGAGCACAGCAACCCTACCACATGCTGCACGTCAAGCCTCCTGTTTGCTTAATTTAGGTCTAACGGCTAATATCACACAGATGGTGATCTGACCATGGCTATAATTCATCCTACCCTAATTCAGGGTCTAAGGGGAGCTGGAGCCTATCCCTGGACAAGTCCCCAGTCTGTTGCAGGGCTAACACATAGAGAGAGACATCCATTCACATTCACACCTACAGTCTATTTAGGATTATTAATTTACCAAACACTATGCTTGTCTTTAGACTTTGAGAGGAATCCAGAGAGGATTCTTGCAGGAGAGAAACAACACAGAAAGACTTTAGATTAGATTCAAACTTAGGACCTTTTTGCTGTGAGCTGGCAGTGCTAACCGCTGCACCGCCATATGGCCCATATAATCTAAAACTTACATTTTAAACTCATTGGAAGAGCTTATAATCATCCATAATCAACCATTTTACTAACTTTCAGATCATTACTTTCATCACAGCATCATTTAAAATGCACACAAGCATTGACGTTACAGTTGAATTACTAGAGGTGAGAATCACCATACATCCCACGATATGATATTATCACAATACTTAACGCA